CTGTGGTATATTCACACAATGGAATACTATGCTGCATTGAAAAACAAGGAACTCATGCAATATTATTCAAAATGGTTGACTCTGGAGAACATCATGCTGAGTGAAATATCCCAGTCACAAAAGGACAAATAAAAATTAAAAAAATAAAAATAAAAAAAGAAAGAAATGTCCAAAACAGGAACTCTTTAGAGACAGAAAGTTGATTCTTGGTTTCCAGAGTTTGAGGGGATGAGGAAAAGGGGAGAGATATCTAATAGATACATGATCTATTATTTATTTAAATGCTCTTGCAGCTAGATAGTGATAACCATGAGTGTACTAAAAATTGTATATTTCAAAATGATTAATTTTATGGTATTAAACTATATCTCAGAGAGAGAAGAAAAGAAAGTAAAAGAAAACAATTGTAAGGCTAAAGATCAGAGGTTAGTGTGCACCTTCTAGTTGATGGACTAAAAGCAAAGTAGATGGTTGTTGAGTACCATCAAGTTGCAACTGAACCATACCTGATCCTCCAGCAAGTTTTCAGAGGCTATAAACTGCATGAGAAAAGATGGCCCATCTTTCCCTGTGGTGCAGCTGGTGGATTCGAATCACATACGTTTGGGTTGACAACACAATTCTACTTCTGCTATTGTACTTTCATTCATTCAACAGACAGTCCTGGAACATCTTCTATAAAAAAAATCAGGGCAGTATCTACTTCAACTTGCCTGTTGTTGCTTGAAGCCCTCAAGAAGTAAATGAATATCAGTAAAAGTGAGTGGGAACTGCAGTCTGGGACCAGTATAGGAGTCAGGGACATCTATCATCTTCACATAGTCCTCTCTATCCCTATCTTGAGGGTTAGTACGAAAAAGACGATGAACTAATTCTGAAAAGAGAAAGAAAGAAATCAATATTCTCACACTTAAACATTTTCTTCAAGACATAGTCCATGCAAGGCACTGTGCTTAATGTTAAGAATACCAACTATTCCAAATATAACTACGAGAAATGGTATGTTCTGAGACCAGGAGGTGCACCACCATCCTTCCTCGGCTGTACCTTTTACCAAGGCAGTAAGTCCATAGTCAGCAAGGAGGAAAAGCATGGGGAAACTGGTCAACCAAGCCGCTTGGATGCTTTGAAGTTCAAATTTGAAATTCTTTGCTCACTTTTATATCACAAATTTTTCCAGATAGAACAGAAAACAACACAACACATTTGTTTAAACTGTCTGCTGCTATTTTCAGGATCTACAGAAAAAAAAACATCAAACTACAACAGTCATTCAATTTTTCCTGTTAAACTATAAAAACCTCAGAAGTTCTTCCTTAGTGGAAACTGATTCCTCTATTCACTTTTCCCCAATTGTGGACATGATTTTTTTCTTGATATCAAAGCAGATAAAAAGTCAGATGACAAACCACAGGCAAGAATACCAAAAGGACCTCTTTCACAGAGGTGTTTCTATAGAACAGACAAGCCTCTACTGTTCCTTTCAGGAGGGACTGAGACTTTAGGTCCTTTCTTGCCAGAAAGCTCATAAAATGGCCAGACCCCAAAGATAAATCAGCCCTATTCAACTGGAGAAAGATTAAAAGGGATATGGTAAATTGATGGCAAAATGACCCTCTGACTCTTCTCCCAACCTCTATCCATGCTATCCATGCTCTTCTTAAGATTATTTTGCAGCTACTCTCATCAAGTTTATTTTCTCTTGCCATGAACCTGGACAGGGATTGTGACTTGTGCTGGGGGTGAGCCAGGAGGGAATGGTGGAAATGATATATAGAACAATTCCAGGCCTAGGTCTCAAGAAGTTTCACATAATTCCATGCATTCTTTTTCTTGGAATTGTGCCATTATCACAAAGCCCAGACTAACCTATTGAAAGTCAGAGAGCATGTGGAACAGAACCAAGTGATCCTAGCCAAGACCATCCTGTTGTTATGTGTCATCAAGTCACCTGTGACTCATAGCGACCCTATGTATAATTGCTCTGAACCCTGCCCTGTCCTAAGCCAGTCTCATTGATTCCGACACACCTACCCCCACGGCCCCAGTTACTGTATCAATCCATCTCATCTGGGGTCTTTCTCTCCTACGCTGTCCCTCCACCCTTCTAAGAATGATGTCCTTCTCCAAGGATTGGTCCCTCCTGGCCATATGCCAAAAGTATGTGAGCTAGAGTTTCAAAATCCTAGCCTCCAAGGAGAAACTGTCTGGACTGCTTCCTGGTCCAAGCAAAGGTTTCACGTGAGCACAGTCCAGTGGTCTGGGATTCCCATTATCCTCAAGGTTAGCCACACAGGTTGTGATCCACACAGTCAAATGCCTTTGCATAGTTAATGAAACATAGATATCTCTCTGGTGTTCTTTGGTTTCTGCCAAGATCCATCTGACATTGGCGATAATGTCTCTAGTGCCACAACCTCTTTAAACCCAGCTTGTATTTCTTTCTATGTACTGTTCCAGTCATTTCTGGATAATCCTTAGCAAGGTTCTGCTAGCGTGTTATATAAGTGATATTGTACAATAATTTATACACTCTGTTGGGTCTCCTTTTTTAGGAATGGGAATAAGTATGGATCTCTTTCAGTCAGTTGGCTAGGTAGTTGTCCTCCAGATTTCTTGGCACAACTTGTGAGCATGTGCAGGGCAGCATCTGTTTGTTGAAATATGTCAGTTGGTATTCCATCAATTCCTAGGGCTTTATTCTTTGCCAGGTCCTTCAGAGAAGTCTGAACTTCCTCCATCATCACCATTGCCTGTTGATCATATGTTGTTTCTTGAAATTCTTCTGTGTCAGCCAGTTCTTTTTGGTACAGTGACTCTGGATACTCCTTTCATCTTTTTTTTAATATTTCCTGGGTCATTCAGTATTATACCCATAGCACCCTTAAGTACTGAGACTCGAGTCTTGAATTTGTTCTTTAGTTCCTTCAGCTTAAGAAATGCTAAGTGAGTTCAGTCCTTTGAATTTTCGGACTCCAGTTCTTTGCACATTTCATTATAATACTCTGCTAGACAGCCTTCTAGAATGGTTGTACCATTTTGCAATGCCACCAACAATGTAAAAGAGTTCCTTTCTCGCCACGTCCTCTCCCACATTTATTACCTTTCTCACCAGACAACATTTATTACTTGCTGCCTTGTTAAATTTTGCCACTGTTACTGGAGTGAAATGGTACCCGATTGTGGCTTTGATTTGCATCTCTCTTACTGTCAGGGATTTGGAGCATTTCTTCATGTGTCTGTTTGCCTTTCAAATATCTTCCTCTGTGAAAATTCTTCCCATGTCTTTGGCCCATTTTGTAATTGGGTTATCAGTCTTTTTCTTGTGGAGGTCCAGGAGTATTCTATAAACTTTCATTATGAGATTCTTGTTGGAGATGGTTTTACCAAATATTTGTTCCCAGTTGGTAGGTTTTCTTTTCAACCTGTTGGAAAAAGGTTTTGATGCACACATGGGTTTAATCTTTAGAAAGTATCACTCATCAATGGTATCCTTTTCAGATTGTACATTTCTGCTGTATTTGGCAGTTTCTTTATACCTTGGACTAATGCTTCTAAGCTTAATCTCAGTTTGTCTCTTATGAACTTTATGGTTTTGGGATTTACTCCCAGGTCTCTGATCCACCTTGAGTTGATTTTGTGTATGGAGTGAGATGTGGATCCTGTTTCAGCTTTCTGCAAATGGAAGTCCAGTTTTGCCAGCACCATTTAGAAATTATTTCCTGAGCAACCCAAACTCTGTGAGGAAAAAGCATGAAGTGAAATTTTACTTTCTGTCATTGCCTTCACTCTCTCTCATTTGGCTTACTGACATAACAAACCTATCCATCACTCCCAGTTCTCAAAGAGTCATATAGCTGTTGAAGAATTAAATAAAATTTTCCCCCCTTTAAATCAAAAGCTCAGTCTGGCCCTTAATTCCATAGATCTGATAGCCTTCATTTCTCATAAATTTAATGATGAATGTAAGTAGTCTACACCCAACATACAATACATCTGAATTACAATGAACCACACTTATGACCATCCCTTTGTTTTCTACATCTTATCTATTGTAATATACTCTCTATCTATCTATGTATATGTATATATCTGCATGTATATATACATATATATATGTAAATGTATATATATACATATATACAAATGTATGTATAGTGTGACTGAGTGTAATTTGCTGATGTTATCAGCTTCATATAATCACTGGCAGATGTCCACTTTTATGATTTACTGATCAAAACACTGCTGTATAGATTTAGTTTTCTAAACTAAATCAGGGGCTTCTGTTACTGGAAAACATGGTTCCAAATGCTGATGACTTTGCTAAAGTCAATAGGCATATTTGTGAAGCAGGGAGATGGTACTGTGAAATAGCTGAGAAAAAAAAAAAGGAAAGGAGCATATAGATAACTTCGAGTAATTTTTTTACTAGAAAAGCCAACCTCTTCCCCAGGGATAATTCAGATGATCCAGAACTTTTCACACATATCAATTTCATGAAACTCTTAATATCAGAGTAAATTTCTATGATTATATATTTCATGTATGCCTATATATTAAAATACAACCACATTGCTGTTGCTACAAAAAAAAGTACAACAAAATCCTTCTGGTGCCTTTTAGCCTCTTCAAATAGATAATGCATGTTATGTGTGAAAACAAAGAAAAGCTTTAACATTTCTATTGAATGTGCTATACTTGTGGGCTATAATTATTGTAACTAATAATAATTTAATAAATACAAACAATATATGAAGCTTTGTACAACATGTAATTAGAATTTATTCTTACCTATTTGATTTACCATTATGTCAACATGAATCTAAACCAATTAAATATAATACAATCTTGAATAAGTCATATGATTGCTTTACAAGTTGTTTTAAAGAAAATGCCTCAAAAAATACCCTGTAGAAAATCTTTTCTTTTGCCCAGTGCAGTCGTAAAATCTGGACAGGGTAAAATTTAAAGCACTTAATTTCTTAAAAAACAATTTCTGCCTCTACCACCCACATGCCACTTTGAAAAACAAGCTTCAGTTAGTGCAAGAAAAAGAAAAGCACCAATGGAAACACATGTATAATTATTCCATCTCCCAATTGTGAATCTGGATCAAAACCATTAGTGGTTGTGTAATACATTTTAAAAGATGCCAAAATGGAATTTCATAAAATTTAACACCTGTTCCCAATTTTTAGGATCTTTTTAACATAATAAAGTTTAAAAATGATAATGCTTTTTCCATTAAATCATAAAACAAGAATGTTCACCTTCACTGATTCACTTCAACCTTGTTCTAGCATCTTTGATAAATAGAAGACACAGAAAGATACAAAAGTGAAGTTGCATGTGACAAACATGATTAAATACCCGCATGAAAGAAAAATCCATTTTAAAACTCCTAGAATTGATACAAAATTAAACATAATACAGAGATTAATCATACTGGATTTGAATTGCAGCTTTACCATTGATGAGATCAACACCTCTGGGAAGTTCTCTAAGTCTCAGTACCTTCACCTATGAAACAAAATACTAATACTATTAAATACCACTACTACTAATCTCATTGTTCTGTCATAAAGATGAAATTATATAATCAAAGCACTTAACATATGGCACAGGGTGATATTTAATACCAATTATAGTACTACAACTTTTATTAATAATACTATTCAATAAGGTCCCTAGGTGGTACAAAGGGTTTGTGCTCAACTGCTAACCTAAAGGCTGGTGGTTCAAACCCACCTAGTGGTACCATGGAACAAAATTCTAGTGATCTGCTTCTATTAATATTCTTGCTGTTGTTAGCTACCATCAAGTCAGCTGACTCATAGCAATCCTATGAATAACAGAACAAAAATCTGCCTGATC